ACGAAGGCTGGGCAGTGGCAGGGGAGGCTTCACGTGCCAGCACCAGTTGCAGCAACACCATGTACTTCCACGAGTGCCTGAAGTTCTTCGGGGTGCATGGAAGGTTCCACCAAGTTTCTGTGGAAAGTTTCACGTATTCAAGTGAGCTCCTCCCTTGTCACGGATGGGCGCGTGCGCCCCACTGGCCTTTCGTTGGTGACGAAGGCTGGGCAGTGGCAGGGGAGGCCTCACGTGCAGATTCTGTCGAATGTTTCACTCCCGACCACGATCCCCTTCGAGGCGGTGGAGATGAACCCCAAGATGCTGAAGGAACGGAGGACGAGGAGACCATGGTTTCCAACTCGACACGTGTCCTTACCATCAATGTTACATCCTTAACCAAAGCCCGACTCCAGACGATCCTTGAAGACAGCATGGCAGATGACGATGTCAATATTATTGCGCTTCAGGAGATACGTCAACAGTCTACCCATCCACGTTGGATTATCAATCTTGCGAAGAAAGCTGGTTTCTCGTGTGCTTGCTCAACCCCACCACCGCGTGGGTCTCGGGTCGCCGTCGTACAGGGTGGGGCAGCTATCCTTTGGCGGCGACGAGTGGGACGAGCTACAGCTATACGGGACGACGCCCTCTCCCACCGCAAGGTGGGCATACGCACAACGGTCGCGACCTACCTCTCGGTCTATGCGCCGCAGGAGTTCAACATGCAGTGGTTCTCCCACTTCTTGCAGTACGCCCAGTGCTTAGGCATTGATGGCCACCCCATCTTTATCTTCGGGGACCTCAACTGGAGGAATGCGTACCAGCACCTGCTGGGGCCAGGCTTCCAGATGGCACAGCAAACAGTTCCAACAACAGCAGCTGCCACGACTCCTACGAGAGCGGTCTTCTTTGGTAGTCTAACAGCGCAGCCTCCGCAGTGCGAGGGCATGAAGTTGCTTCCTGGCATCCCTCACCATGGGCTTGTCAGGTATCGTATTCAAGTTCCCCTGTGGACCAGGGCCATGGTATGACTTCATCATACAGCTGATTATGATCTCCAGCGAGTTCCGCCAGAGGATGTGTGTCAGCAGCTTCAAGATGAACTTGATCGGCGTGACCAGCACAATCAGATGGGTCCTCCCTCCCTGTATGAAGCTTGGCAGCGCTGGCATCGACGTGCAGAGCTTGGGCTACACATCGCCGTGGAGCACGACCTCGTCATCATGGATAGGCAGGCCGAGAGGCCGAAAGGATCGGCGCCTTCCACGCGCCCAGTCGGGACAGGATCCGTGCACCGACCAGAGCAGACTATAGCGTTGCGGAGGCTTCTACGACTCCATCGACGGTATTCTAACTATATACGAGCAGGTGGTGAGCACACGCCTGATGAGGTACTCAGTGGCAGGCGCCTGCAGCAGTTCGGCCAGGCGGGCATCGATGGTATGCTGTGCCCGAAGGACGGCCTCCCAACGTACGCGGACGCGCTTGAGATTGTCTCTACCGCCATCGCGAAGGAGAACAAAGTTATGCAGATGCAGAAGTCTAAAGAATGGAAAAAGAGGTTTGCGACGTGGTCAAAAGATCTCTACAAGCTGACGACCCCTATCTTCAGGCAGTCAGCGCCAGCACCGCCCTTCGGGGCCAAGGACATGCGGGGTGATTGGCAACAGCAGTGGTGTCCAGGTGGCCCTCCTGACCGCGCCCGTCAACACTTGCGCGCTTGGAAAGGGTATGCAGGCAATGTGGAATTTCCAAAGTCAGATAGGCCAGTGGAGTGGTTGCCTTCAATTGATACGCTGGACCATATTATATCACATGCAAAAGGTGCTGCTGGCCTCGACGGGCGGGGAGCACATGAATTGCGAGCTGTACGAAAGTTGTTCCCCGAGCTGACCCTGGAGCTACATGAGCTGTGGTGCCAGACTTCGCTTTGGGCTGTTGAACGTCAAGGCCATCTTCCACAGGATTTCAGTGATCTGGTTTTTGGATGGAGGGTGGTCGGTATTCCTAAAAGTGAGACAGATCTTCGACCGATATCCGTTGGTTCTTTACTTGTGAGATGTTGGATGTCTGCTCTAGCGGCTTCTTTACCAACTCCTACGTCCAATCAGTGGGCGTGCAAGCGTGGGATTTCTTGTGTGAAAGCCATTGCCAAGTGGCTTGCTGAAGTTTCAAATTCTGAAGCTGGGGCTGAGATGGATCTCTCCCGCGCGTATGACAATATCGATCATGAGATCGGAGTGGAAGCTCTTCTACGTGAGAAAGTTCCGCACAGCGTCGTCTTTACCGCCCTCGCGGCTTGGCGTGGTCCACGGCATTTGTGTGTCGCAGGCGAGATGACGAGCCCTATCTATGTAGAACGTGGATTGCCTCAGGGGGATGCAGTTGCCCCTGCTGGCATGTGTGCCTGCCTAGTGCCGTGGCAGCCCAGTGGTGGAATGGCCTACATGGACGATCGTATTTTGACAAACGCTACGAGTGCTATCGTTGATGATGAGCTCGATTTCACGACCAAGTTTGATCAAGACGTCGGTTTCACCGAGAACCAAAGCAAGCGCCAACGTTGGAGCCGAGATGATGACCCACCGCGTGTTGTTGAACATTTGGGGCTGAAGTGTCGGCCAGCAGATGCAGAGTACCCAATTCTTCCAAGGAGGGGCTGGCAGAAAGTTTACCAGGCCATCGAGACGTTGAAGTCCATCCCAGGTGGAGCAGACGTTCGTGAGCGCCTGGCTGTCTCTTACATACGACCTTTATGGTATTGGGCGGCTCCAGTGGTTGCACCAGTTCCTGATGACGTACCTCGGCTTCTGCACAGGGCTATTATCAGGACTTCCACGAAGTGGTGGTGCCAAGGCCGATGGTGGGCCCAAAGAATACACCTTCATCCGAGATATGGTGCAGCGCTATACGCTTTTCAAGTGATGGACGAGTCCCTTGCATGGTCGGAGTTTCTGGAGCACTCGCTGAGTGCACATGCTACGATTCTGGGTCTCACTCTCATCAGGTATTCAGAGTAGCAGGGAGTCTTACTTGAGTATGACTCCGGTGATGATCATCGTGTCCTGGACGCAGTACGAAGTTTGTTTGTTCCCAATACGACAAGGCTTTGGACTCGCAGGAACCAGGACAAGCGCTACCAGCGACGTGTTGAGCATGCCCTTCGGCAGGTGGCCCGCCTGCGGTGTCTTCAGCAAGTCAATTCTAAGAGACGGGATGCAGAAGAAATCGAGTCAGTGGATATCGAAGTTCCTTCGCACCCTTATTTTGCAAAGTGGGCCAGAGGCCTGGATGAGGCCAAGAAGAAAATGCTATGCATCTTTCTCTCAGGGGCAGTATCATCAGAAACGAGGCGCCAGTCGGGAAACCCTTGTCCGCATTGCGATGACCCGTGGCCGTCCTTCCGACATATCTGGGCAGATTGCCCATGCCATCAAGCAGCTCGTGGCGCTGTTGCCACCACAAATCGTGTTCATTCGAGTTTTTGGACAAGTGTACCGAGAGTTACCTCTAAGTCTGGATGGATTGTTCGTGGCCAGGCTCAGACCTTATCAATGCGAGCAAGGATGATGAAAGCGGCTTGTGAGCTTGGGCTTCATATTCTTGCTGATGACCGTGCACAGCGACTACGCCAAGCTGTCCCAGCTGGTGGTGATTAGTCTTACGTCCATGGAGCTATTCCTTGATTAGTTTGCTCCATTCACCATCATCATCATCGCATTCTCAACCTGTTGAGTGTCCTCAAGAAATACGGTGTTGTCGGCCTTCGAGCGGTGGACACGAGGCCCTTGAACGAGGAGTTCAAGGACTGCGAAACGACGACAGCGGACTGCAGGGCAAAAACCTTGTCAGGCATGAGGAGGAAGGGCAACAGGAAAGGGTGGCGGAGGAGGCTGCTAGAGAGGGTAGAAAAGGAGGGCTGCAGGAGGCAGAGGCGGCGCCAGTATTTTGGATTCAGGGACGCGAAGGCTGCCCTGGAAGGCCGCGTGCAAGAGCGGCTCAATGCACTACGACACGCTGCAGGGGCTCACCTTGCAGAAGAACCTACCGAAGACACGCTGGCTGCGCGGGCGCAGCCGGCTAATACCGACCACACGCTGGATGCGGGGAAGCAGCCGGCTAATGAAGATGCATGGCAGGATGCATGGGAACTTCCTGAAGAAGAAGAAGAAGAAGAGGAGGAAGGTGAAGACCAAGGAGGGAGCACCCCCGAGACGACGACCATGACGAGGACGACCACTACGAGGAGGCGAAAGCTGAAGACGAAGAAGCACGGGGGACAGCCCCGGAGGAAGCGGCAGGAAGCTCCCGGAGGAGCAGGACCACCAAAAGATGTCTTCTGGGCGGATGGCAACGACCGCGAGCTCCGAGGAGGCACCGAGGCAGCCACCAAGAGGAAGAAACGAG